TTCGTCCTTTAGAGAAGTCTACTCTAAGATCACTCCCAAACATATACACGATTGTATTCGTGAAGAAATGCAACGGTTTCAACACAGGAAGAAAACTAATTATTCAGTCAGTCAAGATCGATCGTTTTACGAATTGTCAATTTCTTCGGAGATAAAAGAATTAACGATCGCTACTATATCTCAGTTATTTCCAGCATCGTCAACTTCACTTTCTCCTAATTGCAAAGACGAACTCTCATTTACATTATCAGATGTGCAAATTATCAGCGAGCGACTGCTAAGAGAACAAGAAAAGCAATTGAGAGAAGATTTTGAACGCCTACTTTGTGCAAAATTGTCTGAGCAACACGAATCATTCGTCAAATTTGCTTATGAGCAAATAGGCAGATATCTAGGGCCCGGCGCTTTCTCGTGCTACATTTCGTAGTTGGTACCCAAGTGTTTATTTTTACGAAGAATAATGGATATTTAGAGCTTGAAATGCGTAATATAGTCTTCTGTTGATGACTAACAAAAATGTCACTATGTGTAACTATCCCCGCATTCACTTCCATATGTATTGCTTGTGTACTTTTTAGAGTAAAAACATACCGATGTAAATCATCGTTACATTATGTATGACTTCTCCAAAGTTTGCTATCAGATAGATGCAAAAAGTATTCAAATATAAATATATCGTTTGAAAAGAGTGTGTTCAGTTTTTTGTGAGAGTAAAAGCGAAGTAAAGGTTAATTGGAAGTTTACGATGCCCATTTTTTTCATTCTTAAAATTTAAGAATCAAAGGAATGATATTTAATGTAATTCACCCAATGCCAAGAAAAATCTTTTTTTCATAACTATAGTATTATTTCTTAAGCTTGTGTATGATTTTTATTGACTAATTTCCAATCCTCCAAAAAAATTATTTAAACATTTAATAACAAATTAACAGTATATATGAAATAAATACGAAAAGGAAAAAATTAAACTTCCAATAAAAGGCCTTCTCTTTTTTCCCTCCCCTAAGGAAGCATGAACTTTTTACTGCTGTAATTCAAAACTACTCACTACAGTTGGTGAATCTTCCTTCCTCTTTTGGAGATAACTTCCGTAGACTAAAGATTGAGTGGTTGAAATCGATAGAGACTATGGAGGTAAGTCAATTTTTGTCGCAGGATATCAGAGAATCTAGAAAGAAACTAAAGAAGGACGTTCATTGAAAAAAAACTTATAATTTATTCCCAAGTAAATTAAATGAGAGCTTATCATTTCCCCATATTTTCATTATCCTTGAATCCCTTCACAGTATTTTGTTCATGCACTCCCTAGTGATGAGTCAAGTAATTCCTCAACTTTTTGTATCGTAAGACTTGACCTCTCATACATAACGCAGAATAAATTAAGCTGTCAATAACCATTCGATGAATAAATATGATCACATTAGAACTATGTATTTTAATCCAAATGAAATGGAGAAAATCCTGTACTCTGTCCCCTTTCAGAACCAGATTGTCAAATTTTGCAAAAACACAAATGTCATGCTTGAAATATAACGTTATGGTAAGCCCGCGTATCTCTAGAGTTTATGTGTTATGATCCTTCCCCGATGATATTGTATGATTGTGTTACAAGTATGTAAGATAATAGTATGTAATAACTTATATGTTATATTATATGATGTTATGGTATTATGTTATATTATGTTAATGTAATGTTGTGTAACCCTCGAAAAGATGTGATGACCATGCCCTGATTGTTCTGTATGATGATGGAATGTAAGATAAGTAATATGTGATACTGTTTTATGTTATGACCAATACATTCTGATACTTTTGCTTATGTAATGATAGATGAAGTCATAAGTGTCTGTAATTAAAAATGTTGTCGCTAATAACCTTAGTCGTTGATGCGACAAAAAATAAACAGAAAAAAAATTCGATGAATAAAAATATCACATTGTATCGTTTTGTCGACGTGGGAAACCGACTTCGATAAGACCACGGTATTTCAACTTACTCTTCCGGATTCTACTGTCAGCTAGTCTAGTGTTTGTGGAATTTCAGTCGCCCTTCGTGCGTAGGTGTATAACACTACCTTTGTGTCGAATTTTTACGCACCGAAGGGTCGTTTTTGTAAAAACAACCTACTTCAAGGTGACCAAATATTTTCCATATATATTCCGTCCATTCATTTAACACAATCTGTATAGGAAGGATATTCAGATTTGGTGTCTCAACGTCATTCACAGACGCTCATAAAGCTGTATTCAATCCATGTATCCTCATATGTAATGTTTTTCCAAATAGCATAAAACATTCCCACGACTGGGGAATTACGAAGAGAGAGAACACATACACTTTTATTTGCACCGTGATGTACAGCATGCAGAAAAGTGTATGTGCATCTTTGCATATGCTCTCAGGCGCGAGCGCATTCTAGAATGCTGACTTTTATGAACTTTACTTCACAATTAGATCATCTATTTCCCATAGAGGTTCTTCAAAAATAATATGCCTAAAATATATAATATAGTTTTCCATTTAAGAATAGGACCATTGTTAAGAAATAAATAGCAAAGTAATTTCACTAAATCTTTGTGTAATCATACATATTATTATTCTGTATATGCTCACAGTTAAATACATATGTATTCTATGTAGAACGAACTTCTAGTTGTATATTTGCATTGGGAGTTTCTCCTGAGCCTAACGTAAGAATTGTGAGATCCCCCAACGATGGTGATGGGCGGCGTGTGTGTGTGGTTGCGACAGGCAGCTGCACGGCCACCGCATCTCGCTGCACCGCAACCTGTTCGCGGCGCTGCTGCTGCACGCGGCCGCCGAGACGCTCTCGCGCACCGTCATCCTGCTGCCGGAGCTGGACGCCGCCGAGCGCGGCTTCGTCTCCGCAGCACAGAAGGTACTCTCTCCCGCTCTTTCTCACGCTCTTTCTCACGCTCTCTCTCACGCTCTCTCTCACGCTCTCTCTCACGCTCTCTCTCACGCTCTCTCTCTCACGCTCTCTCTCACGCTCTCTCTCACGCTCTCTCTCACGCTCTCTCTCACGCTCTCTCTCACGCTCTCTCACGCGCTCTCTCACTCTCTCTCACTCTCTTTCACTCTTCCGCACTCTCTCTCTCTCTTACTTTCTCTGACTCTCTCATTCTTTCTCTATTAAGGTTTCATATAACTTTCTTATCCCTGTCATTTCTCTCTCTCGTGTTCTCTCTCACGCTCTCTCTCACGCTCTCTCACACTCTCTCTCACACTCTCTCACTCTCTCTCATTCTCTCACTCTCTCTCACTCACTCTCTCTCACCCTCTCACTCTCTCACTCACTCACTCTCTCTCACTCTCTCTCCGTCACCCTTTCACTCTCTCACTCACTCTCTCACTCTCTCACTCACTCACTCACTCTCTCTCACTCTCTCTCCCTCACCCTTTCACTCTCTCACTCACTCTCTCACTCACTCACTCACTCACTCTCTCTCACTCTCTCACTCATTCTCACTCTCACTCTATCTCACTCTCTCACTCTCTCTCACCCTCTCTCACTCTCTCTCTCACGCTCTCTCACGCTCTCTCACTCTCTCTCACTCTCTCTCACTCTCTCTCACTCTCTCTCACTATCTCTCTCACTATCTCTCTCACTCTCTCTCACTCTTTCTCTCACTCTCTCTCACTCTCTCTCTCACTCTCTCTCTCTCACTCTCTCTCTCTTTCTTTCTCTATTAATGTCTCGTAGTTTACTCTCTGATTCCTATCATTTCTTTCTCTCTCGCTCATTCTCTTTCCCTCTCCATTTCTCTCCCCATTACGCCCTTCCCGCCTCTGCTTAGTCTTTCTTCTCTCTTCCACTTCTCCCTATTAATTTTCCTATATCCATGTCTGTCTCTGCTTCGTCTTGCTTATCTTTCTGTTTTCCTCTTCTCATTTTCCCTCGGTCGTTTACTCTATTCCTCGCTCGCTTTCTCTCCTTCGCGCTCTCTCCCTCCTTCTTTCTGATCCAGTCCTCCCCCCATTAATCTATGCCTTTTTTGTTTCTTCTCCTCGCATCTACTCTTAACTTTTTGTACTCTCATTCTTTTGATATCCTTCAATTTTTATTTTTCTCGATGTATCTACCCATCGTCATCTGTCTGTCTTTCTCTCTTTCTCTCCTCTCTCCTTTTTCTCTCTTCTCTTCTTCTCTTAACTTCCTCCTTTTTTTTGAGCCTTACTTTCTCACAGTCTCCTTCTCGGTTTCTCTCACTCTGTTAACTGTGAAAAGTGACTTGAGTACAAGCAATGTCACAATCGGCTTGAAATAACCTGAAAGCCAAATGTCTAGCGCTCCGACTCTTGTGACCACAGATTTGATCACCGAGCCCTTTTTATTCAGTAGGCCAATTATCACAATTATACAATACATTTCATGATCTATGTGCCACCTAAGTCTCTAATCATTTACAAAACGTATATCCTACAAAGTTTCCAAACTTATTCGCTTTAAGACCATAATTAATACCATATTCGCTCCAACAAAAAGTTCATTAATTTCATATATTTAGTTTCAATATTTGTTTTATTTGTGCAACTACGCACGTGATAATCCTACCACAATCTCTTTGAATTGATTGTAAATTAGATGTAAGGGAATGATCCGCACGTTTGCTGCAGATCTGGTGGTAAACAAGGATATGCTATACAGATGCCACAATGCTGAAACATTGGCGATGACAAACCGTAGGCTCATAGCAAAGAACAGCGAGACATTGACAACCGTATAGCTCCATGATGTTTCTGAACCATCTCAAACGCCTGGACAGGGAGTCGGGGTGTCAGATGGATGTTGTAAGTTTCCCAAAAGCATCGTGGAAGGCTGAATTAACGGAGAAAACTGGGCGTCCCCTCCTCATTTTTTGCAAAACACTCCGAGTAAATTTTATGAACCTCAATTTTTTGAAGCCACGAGCCGACACTGCGAAAAGGGCCGTCACGAGGAGTGATTTGTCACACGTGTGCGCAGAACGGCGTATGGTGTCGGATGCTGGTGGTGGCCACTAAATACTTCCGCGGCAGTTCCTTCATGTGGATGTTCTGTGAGGCCTTCTACCTGCATCGCCTGCTGGCCGCGGCCTTCTCGCCCGATGGCAGCCTGCTCATCTTCTACCTCATCGGTTGGGGTGAGCACAAAGGGCCTTTGCTCTGCGCAATATTATTTTCTGAAATCTAGTCTACTTCGTGTTACAAAGAAAGTCATGTAATGCTGTAGAACAAAGTGCCGATTTCTAGATATATCGCAAGTTATGTGGGTCCCAGATACTGAAAGAGTTTTTTTTCTTGCTCCGGTACGTGGTATATTACTGTTTCGTATATGTAGCGTTGTGAGAATAGTTCACGTTTTAGAAGAGTCTTTGATACTGAAAAAGTGTTGGTTTTTACTCGAAAGGTTCCGTATGTCCGTTCGTCTTGGACCAACATTAGCTCCTTATCATGCACGCGATTTTCTCCAAAATGGTTATACCCCAAACGATTTGATTCGGTGTATGTAAATTCGAGTTCAGAAGGAAAATAAGGGTTCCACCCATACGATAATTGCAAACCGACCCAGAGAAGGGCATACGTAACTTGGGGACCGACTGCCTCACCCCCTTCCAGGTAAAAGTGGACGCGACACTTTAGTTTCGAAGAACATTTTCATAGTTGTTATTTTTAAAATACAACTCCCTTCCCAATTTTACAGGCTTAAGTCTGGCATTTTTCTTTTGAAATATGATTTGGTATAAGTTGGTTTTCATTCAACAGAATCATTCGTTGATTGAGTGAATTCTGTTTTCCTAGCCATTCTTTCTTTTTCATATGTTCTTCATTTTTTGAGCTAATATTCCATAACGCTGAACATAAAATTTGGACACTCTTCTAGAGCTTTATTTGCTTTTCGTTTTGATATAGGAGCCGTATGGGATATTTTCAATAAGACGTGAGGGAAAGCTGCACAGCAACGTAGTGGCAGCGCCCTCTTAGCGCGCTTACCAGCTCCCACAGTCAATTTCCTTACCTAGGTTGGTTTGGTCCCCACGTTACATGTAAATAGGGGAACATAGATAGGGGTACATAGAAAGAAAGGATTTTCGCGAGGAAAAACGAAGGTATTATTTGGTCCCTAATTTACATATGGACATTTGGCTGCCGTGGCAGCCCCTACTACTTAAAAAATAATTTTTTAATTATCGGGGGTACTTTCCATGTAGCTCCGAATCTTCTAGATGAATACTTTGATCCATTTCATGCAGCGTGAATGACTGCGGTCGCTCAGGGGTGCTGCTCTGGGTGTCGGGGGGAGTGCACGGTGTGTAGGGCGTGTTTGTGTGTGCGCAGCGCTGCCCGTGCTGCCGACGGCGCTGTACGCGGGGCTGCGCGCGACAGCCGCCGACGCCGACTGCTGGATGCAGCGCAGTGCCTACGAGTTCGTGCTCATCGTGCCCAACATCCTCAGCCTCCTGGTAAGGGCTTTTATGTGCGTTCCGAGTAATCGCCTGATAAATCGACATAACTGCACCGAACACTGGGATGAAAAATCGCCCGGCACCCATTAAGAATTTTAACAGTTTTTTTTTTCTTATAAGAAGGAAGTGTTACGAAAAGTATTCAATGGCACAAGGCTGATATCAAAAGCAAGACACTTGATTATTTATTCCATATCGACCTCATAACGTTTTTAATCATGACATGCACGAAATACGAACCACACAGGAACGAACATGCGGTTTTATTTGTTTTCGTAATTCGCACCTGATTAATCGACATAACGTCACAAAACACAGGGAGGAATGCAACTCTTAACTGCCGGTACCCATTAAGAATTTTAACGATATTTTTCTTATAAGAAGGATATGTTACGAAAAGTATTCAATGGCACAAGGCCGATATTATAAACAAGAAACTTGATTATTTGCTCTATATCGACTTTGTACCGACATGTGCAAAATTACTGGAAATTTTCTAATTCGCTTCCAGAATTCTCCCAGCGTTGATACTAAATGTTGATTTGCATATTAGCCGCTAGGGAGCGCCACAACAACCCTTCAAAAATCTACAACACACCTGCGAAAAATTAGCTTCATCGGATCAATGTCCCTCCCTTTTAATCCGCATCGTTGTGTGTTGCAGGCGAACGTGGGCTTCCTCGTGTACATCCTGAGGGTGCTCATGACCCTCAACAAGCCGTCAGAGCAGGAGCCCGCGCACTACAGGTGGGTGGCCCTGCCGCACAGCTCGCTGTTCAGGCAAACAGCTGCGGGGATATCTTCATTTATCTTATGTATCTATTTTATTTATCGACAAATCAGTAAAATGCATGTGACATACGTCTCCAGTTCCGAATCCCTCTCACTTTTGCTATACATAGTTGAACAACAAATAAATGTAGCAACGAGCTTTGGTGGAAACATTGCCTATCAAGAAATGTTCACTCCAAAGAAGTGGAAACTATGTGAATCGGCAAAGGAGCTACAGCTTTGATTTGATGGTACTCCAAAGCATTATGTTGTATATTTGGTACAACTACTGATGAAATAACTACCAACCCTCTTCTCGCCCTTAAGCCGACCCTGCTAGCATTCAAAGGTCCTGAGATTCTGACGGTGTGACGATAGCGAGGAAGTTAAAGGGAAATGTAATTTTCTCCTAATTTCATTGTAATTTCTGAAATCTAGACATTGATCGTTGGCATCATTATCTTCAAATACTTCGTATGCGTTTTACAGGCTTCATCATTGTATTTCTCTGAGAAGGTATAATGTAGCTTAGAATAATGTGGGTTAAATATGTTTTTGAATTTACATTAAAATAAGTTGATCTAAACAAACGGATGTCTAATAAACATTCACTCACTATCACTCCATTACACGAGTTCATTCTGATAATGGGAATAAATTCATTAATGAGAGTCTCTAGATACTTGACCTTTTGCTTTTCTTATCGCAGCCGGGAGTTTGTGCTTGAACTTCTGTGCTGAGGAGCCCACCAAACCTAGGCCACCAAAAATGATTTATTGCCACTCTAAAACATCACATTTTTGTTCAAGATGTTACTACCTCCGGTACCAGTTCTGTAATTCACAGAAGGTACTTAAAATCTGTTTTACAGTAAAATCTTTTTAAAGAAAATTTCCACTACGCGTTGAATTGAATTTTAATCTTCGATTCATGGATGTAGTGAGAAGTGTGTGTTATGAGAAGTATAGTATTATGAGAAGCATTTGTGTCTAAACAAGAGTGTGTCTTTCTTTGCCATTTTCGAAATCAATCAATATTTTTTCACATACAGTTAACTATTTCTTGTTGAATTTTTTTACTTAAGATATAATATTGTGTAAATAATCAACGGTTTTCTATTATATTAATTGAAAAATCCACATTCAGGATTTTTAGCCACAGTATTTTAACCATTTCGTTTTAAGACATTTCTATTGTCATATTTCTGCACTTTTGCAGTTTTCCTCAAAAGAACATTCGAATAAAAATGAAAACTCGTGTTCGATTCAACTGCTGCATGAAAACAAATCAACTAGGTATACCTAGTTTTATTTTAGTTAGATTTTTTTCATTAATTCATCGAACAGTTGAAGAAAGTTACCTATTCTAAAGAGTTGCTGCTAATTAAAAGCCGACCTGTCTGTTAAGCTGGCAACACACCGAGGCAATCGATAACTGTTTCTAAAAGAACCATCCCACTCCATCTTGATATCAGTCAGATACCTGCGAAGGATTGATGTAGGTAGAAGCACGTGCGATTGTCCAAGATAACGCTAGAAATATCATTTACTTATCTCTATGCAAGTATCATTTCGCATTCTACATGATTAATATTATTCACGCATATAATTTGGTTTGATATTTCTGTGTTCGCAAAGAAAATGTAAGATTATCTGAGCAAATTTGTTGCAAGCTGATTTAGTGCGTGAATAGTCGCTGAAATAAATCCCATTCAGATCTCTTAGTTTTCTGATGTCTACGCTCCCTACGTTTCTTAATCCATTAGTTCAATTTTCTCTCAGAGATTCGAAATGTGATATATATCTTGGTTGGTCTTCGTATTCAATAGAGTCATCTAATTTTTAATCCGACATTCTTCAGTGGTTAATAATCCACGAGTTCATCAAATATTTTTTAGTTCTGGTAACTAAAGTGCAAAGATGATATGGCTGATGGTGTCTCACTCATGGTCTTCCAAGTTGCGTTTGAAAAGATTTATTGATGACCCATTTAATATAATTTTGTTGGGTACATTTGTTGTAGCTCTGAGTTAACATCATTAGTAGCTTCATAATTGATTGTTTGAGGACTGATCATTAAAATAATAAAGTCACTACTAGTTAGCCAGTGGTTAATGAAAAATATATTTTAAATTACCTGTAAAATGTTTTTATAGTCACTCTTAAAGCGGTTATGTCAGGGCATGCATAGCGTTTTTAAAGTTCAATTCCTAGTGCTAAAATGAGACAATGCTCAAGTGTTCACGTAAATCCATACAGCAGAGGAAAGAAAATACTTTCGTCTGACAGCATCACCACAACTGACCTCATTGAATGATTTGTATAATTGATTAAAAATAAACTGAACGTCAGTCAATCTAAAAATTGTGTATGACAAAGGTAATAAAAGTGATTTTATTTTACTCGTAAGATTACGCCACTCGATCTGTCGTGTTGCAACATTTCCGATTTGCAAAATAAAATGTCACTTTTACCACTTATATCGTAAACAACTATTATACCTTACAAGCTGTGAGGAACATTCTTTGTTATTTAGACGATCCCTTATTATAATTTGCTTATGAGAAATAAGTTCTATTGAAAAGTTCTAAGTTGTATAACCGTTCATAGCTCTGTGACCTGCACCAAGCGAGTAGGCGCAGCATTTTGAATGAATAACTTATAAACTAATTACTACGATCCAGGAACTGGTACATTTATGTGAATTTGTTTTCTTTTAATAACAAATATTCCATATATATCAATGAGATAATGCAAATGACTAAAGACGTTAAATGTAAAAGCTACTCGAAGTTTCAAGGAAAAGATTCAATGAGTGTGGATGCTTCTATTGGACAGTTCTTGGCGCAAAATATGTATCGTTTAGAGTAACATCTTTTATTTCTCAAACTTTTGAATCACCAGGGAGTATTAACACATTATTATATATTGTTTCTTGCATTTATTAACCCTTTATGAATCAAAAACACCTGCTTAAGTTCAAATGAGGTAGCTATCCTCTATCAGAGGAGGTGGGTATCTTCTCCCCCATACCTCACATACAGTTTTTACTGTTTTTTACTAAATAAATCTAAATCTCAAAACTGCCTTTCTCGGCATTGACTTCTTACTTCCAGGGCCCTTTCTCTAAAAGTTATTGTAACGGGCCGTAAGAGGTCTTATTATTTCGACAGTCGGTAGAATATGACATAGTAAGTTTTGTGCTTTAACAGATTGTTTTACCCTGAATTTACTATTAACCAAACCAGTAAATACATGTACTACTTTGGAAAGGAAGATGAGTGAACCTCAGGATCTTCCTGAGTTAAACAAGATTGCTCGGGAAGTGGCTCAGTGCGAAGCGCTCTGGATTCGCAATCTGATGGAACGGGGTTCGATCCTTGGCCGGCCACTGACGGGGATTTTTCGTGATTTCCCTTGGTCATAAAGCGAATGCTGGGATGGTTCCAAAACTTCCGCGGGCACCTACTTCCCACTACCCCACCTATACCTCCCACCATCATCCTAGTCCTTTCACACTATAACTTTAATAATAATAATTATTATTATTATTGTTATTATTATTATTATTATCATCATAAGTTTGTGACTCTATGTTTGTGTGTATGTGTCCATTTCATCATCATCATCATTATCATTTCACCCGTCCCCTAGGTCAATCTTGGAGATTACAACCTTGGGACGTAAAAATGGAACAAATGCTGATCCCCTCAATAGAAAAGTAACATGAACCTACCCCGATAATCAAGCCTGATTCCCGGTAAGATGCGGGCCTTTATTTTTAAAATGGATTTAAATTAAATTTAGATTCTACTTATCGGCTTCAATAAAATCTTATCGATCACTAAATCCTCAGCACCTGCTTTATGATTTGTTGGCAGTTCAATCTCAAGCCAGGGAGTTAAAACGAAGTAGTGCGTGCATTCTGCAGGTCGTTTGGTAGATCCTTAATATTTAATGTCTTATTGTCGTGGAACTTTCCGAGGTTATTAAAATACATTAAATCATGCACAACCTCAACTAGAGGTGAACTGTTTTGTTGCTTTGATGGGCACTGAGCAGAAATGAAGCATTGACTGTCTACAACAGAGTCCCCTAAATACTTTGCCCATCTGTTGTTGAAAACCAATCTTGTATGTTATTCTTAAAACTTGTGTCTCTTCATTAATTTTAAAATTTAGCAATAATTCGTATGGTTGTTTTGAAATTTTTAACTTTCCGCAACACACTTACCTATTTTAATTGTTAATTCGTAAATAATGCATGCGTTATCAGGATCAGTGAAAAATCTAATTGAAATTAGGAGAGGAAATAATAAGTAATGATTGCGCTTTTTTTGATTGCTCATGAAAAATGATTGCTCATTTTTCTCCTAATTTTCGCCTAGAAAACATAAAGTTATTTTTGTAAGTTTGTACGTAAATGAGTTAATAACATTTCATTTTTTATCACTATTTATTATCAGCCTTAACAACGTCACTGCAATAAGAATTATGAAAACGTATGGATTAGAGATAAATTTATTCAAGTTTACAATTTTTTTCTCTTTCACAACGTGACATGTGAAGTAAATGACTCACTAAATAACGTAAAACACGTTAACCAGTGTATCTTATCTTATGTCACATATCGCATCGGGCCTTACAGAACATGATGCAGTTTGTTTCTTTTTTCCTTTAAAAACATAGATTATTCTACAGTACATTTGTATAAGTTGCGGCTTTCGTTGGAAGTCTCCTTATTCTCTGAGAGGATACAGATTAGCACATTTAGCCCTTTGTTTAATGAGTGGGTACAATATATACCCACACCATACATTTCTTTTAAGGCGAAATGGATTGTTTAAAATATAATTCTAGCAGTTTATGTATTTGTCCCTTAAGCTTTTTCTAGTATGTAGATAACGCTTAGCGGTTTGCTATTTATGTATTTAGTATATTAAATGCATGCAAATTACTAGAAAATATCTACCAGTAGCGTTTTACAGAAAATAGTGGTCTTTATTTTAACCCAATCGTAACAACAGCTATTTTTAAAAATGACAACAAAATATTTTTTTAAATCATTAAATGATTCAGAATCTGAAGAGACTGTTATTTTCAGTAAATTTTGCAATAAGAAATAAAAAATTATTGAATATGTTTATAGTATTTAATTAAAATAACCATTATCTTAATTACCTCCAAAAGGAACAACTATATCCACAATCCGTACGATCATAATCTTATATTAATAAAAAGATTGCAAATGGGTATTTATTTTGAACCAAATAGTGTGACCGGACAATAAAATTTGAAAAATATTTGGCCCCGTTAATGGGCCCCGTTGCCACGTGCGAGGGCGAGAGGGCGAGAGGGCGAGGGCGAGGGCGAGAGCGGGGGCGCGGGCGAGGGCGCGAGCGAGGCCGGGGGGCGAGGGCGAGTGAGGGGGGCGCGGGCTAGGGCGAGAGCGAGGGCGCGGGCGAGGGCGGCTCGCAGTGTGCGTGAAGGGCGGTGTGGTGCGCAGGCGGGCGGTGCGCGCCACGCTGGTGCTGGTGCCGCTGTTCGGCGTGCAGTTCCTCTTCACGATGTTCCGGCCCGCGGCGTGCGCGTGGCGGCGGGCGCTGGAGCTGCTCGACCACCTGCTGGACGGGCTGCAGGGCGCGGCCGTCGCCTGCATCTTCTGCTTCTTCAACGGAGAGGTAACTTCAACGCTGCCCCCGCCCTCTGCCCTCTCTCGATCTCTTCCCTCCCCCATCTCTCTCTCTTACTCTCTCAATTCTCTCTCCTCTCAATGCCCTCTCTTCCCAATACCCTCACTTCTCAATGCTCTCTCTCCTCGCAGTGCTCTCCTCGCAGTGCTCTCTCTCCTCTCAGTGCTCTCTCTCCTCTCAGTGCTCTCTCTCCTCTCAGTGCTCTCTGTCCTCCCACTGCTGTCTCTCCTCCCAACTCTCTCTCTCTCTCTCTCTCTCTCTCTCTCTCTCTCTCTCTCTCTCTCTCTCTCTCTCTGTCAATACTCTCTCAAAGCTCTCGCACGGACATATACGCGAACTCTTGACTCTGCGCGCTCGAGAGGGATGTTTTAATTTTTGGAAGTGATACTTTATATGAAACCCTGACATTTTCAACATTTTATGCAATATGACTCAAAATTTTGTTTTTGTAAACTATGGGCTGGATCGTATAAAAAAACGCATAAAAGAATGGCGCGGGTCTAACTCTCGTTAAATTCACTGATTTTTCCTAAATTGCAAAAGTTCAAAATTATTTCGCGGTCTTCCTACAACTACAATATGGAAGTTAGATTATTTCGTAATAAAATGAATTATTCAAAGCCGCATATTGAAAAAAGTTCTTCCACAATTTTTCGAAAATATGAGTAGTTTTGTCGTAATATTGCGTAGAATATAGGCAATTTTTAAACAATAATTATTTTCTTCAAAACTGTTTTATTTTTTCTTTCAAATTTCTCCTCGTATGTATCAAAGAATGGTAATAAAGTGTGTTGGTACCACTTTCGGCGAACGTTTTGTATTTTCGAAAATTTACATTGCACAAGTAGGTGAAGGTGGAAGTTTCTGTCTTCCTATCAAATCTTAAAATGGCCGTATCCAATTTCTTGGGAAAATTAGTAGTTTTCGGTAATTTTCGTTTAGAGTTAATGTAATTTAAAAAATAAACGATTTCTCAAAAACTGTTTTAATTTTTTTATTTAATTTATTAAATAAAAAAAATTATATAACACGGATAGAGAAAAAGACCCTTAAAAATGGCGCAGATCTCATTTTCGTTAAACTCTGAATTTTTTAAAATTGCGAAAGTTATAAATAATGCGAAGGCGTATATGCTATTGTGGCACCTGTTTTTTGTTGTTTTTTTTAAATTTTGTTGTAAATGATTTAGAATAGTAATCAACGAGCCAGCAAACCCCAAGTAGAGCAGTTTAATGGTTTGATAATATGCTGCTTGATAAAACTTTACCAACTTCTGCTGGTGTTGGGTGGTTTGAAAAGGTAAGCTCTTTACGTTGATGAATCGTACAACATTCATTCTTTTGTAAATAACGTTCAAATCAGCTGATCTGATAAAACCAAAGAGGTTTGATCCGATAAAGCCGAATATTTTTCTTATCATTTCGCCTCCCATTCAAAATGTAAGATAAGTGGATGACGGAATAGGTCTCTCAAATGCTATTATCAGTGCCGATATTTCGTGTTGCCGTTCCATCGAGAGTATCTGGCCGATCTTAACAATTTCCAAATATCTGCGCTATCGCCCTCGATAAATAGATTTTCTTTCGTTTCCGATACTTTCTCTGAAACTTGGTTTTTTAATCGATGAATTGTACGTTTCTCTCCTGCATCGTTTATTTTTACTCCTTACATTTTTCTTTTCAATTATTCATTTATTCCATGTTTATCAGTTATAAGTATTCCCAAAAGATGTTTACAAGCACACGTTTTACTGGATGAGTGTGTCCCGTTTGTGTAAATACTCAACTTCCGAAAGAAGAATATTAATTTACACTGTTATATTTCTTCATTACAACATCAAATGACATAAACTATCCAATTGTATAAGATATGTTTTTTTAATTACATTAAATGAGAAAGTGAACAGTGACAAACAAAAACGCGAATGAACTGTAAAAACTACCGTTTTCATGTTTGGCTTTTAACAATGTCAAACGTACAGTTAAACGCAGTTTTACTGATAAATCGCTTAAAATGATAAATAATAACGAGGATCACCCTCATTTTAATAAACATGACATACGATGTCATCAACGCCTTTCATAAATTCTCTTTATCGTTTATTATAGCAAGTCCACATTATTAGTGTGAAGAGATAAGATATTTCTGCGACGATTTATATTAAAGCATTTCATACAAATGAAATTATTTAAACGAAGTACTACTCGTGCTATCGTGAATTAATAAATAAAGATGTTAAACTCATTCACCGGTTTTAAAAGTCACATACTTTCAATTTCTTACAACTTTCCTACATGTGTTTGGAAGTGCATCGACTCATCTCTGAGACGGAAGTGCCTCGCGTCAACTAGTGAGGAATCTAAAAAAAATATTTTGTATTTAAAAACAAATTGTTGTGAAAAACGCTTACATTTGGAAATGAAAAAGTGTTCCATTGTCGTAGGTTGTTTCCCACCCGCTTTTGGTTATTGTAGTTATTTGAGAAATAAGAATACTAATGTTCACTTTCTCGCCTTACCTCGTAAGAAGGGAAAGTGTTGTCCGCTGGAAAACGGGGAATTTCTGACAGAAGACCTCTGATGGTTGGGTTCTGGTAAAAAAAATTAGATAAATATTTTCCTTACATATAGTAAATTATTCTTCTTCTTCTTCTCCACTTCAAGGGTAGGTCTATGACCTGTTCCGGCTTCTAATAATTCCATATTTTTAGGGGTATTCCAGGATCTCTTCTGCCTTGAAGCCTATACCTAAACACCTGCTTTGGAATGAGAGTCTCTTCCATTCTTTCCATATGTTGTAACCATTCCTGTCTGTAACATTCTACCTTGTCATTGATTGCTTGAACGTTTAATTCCTTTCGAATTTCCTCATTTCTGAGTTTATCTAGTCTAGTACATTTTTTTTACAGATTTCAGGAATTTCATTTCAGCAGACAGTAACGCCCGTCTCTCTTTCTCTCTCAGAGTCCAGCATTCACTTCCGAACAACAGAGACGGGACAGCTATTACTTTATACATCCTTATTAGAGTATCTCGCCGAATGATTCGGCATATATTCTGGTATTTATGATTTTTTGCATCTATATCCATTTCTGGGAAGAACGTTATGTTGTGCCCCAAATATTTAAAATGGCTAATTTGTCCAGCATCGTATTTTCCAAAACTACTTTGTTGCGTTTAAGATGCTTTCCCATAAATGCCGTTGTATAGTAAATTTTAAAGTATGTTATTTACTATATTATTTACTATATACTATATATACTATCTATACTATACAATACTACTACAATATAGTAAATTACTTCCGCTAACCTGTTATGTAGTCAGAAATCCATTTTGGGAGTCTTTGATGTCAACAAATTAGTTAACGGCAAAGCGCCCTTCCGTATATCTTTCTGAGAACAGAGCTAACAGATAAACCGTATGGAGTATTTTCACCAAAATTGGTAATTCTCTATCGATCTGACTGATGACGCGGCCTCTTGAATTTGAAACTTCTGTTTCAATTGAAGGTGCTTCAAATGACGTTTCTCGAAAACTCAACTCACTTCACTTCTGTGAAAATGAGCTCGAAATTACGCATTTTCAAAAACATTGAAAATAACATTTTCTCAAACGGATCCAAATGTTTCAATGCAGATATACATACAGAACCATGTTTTCCTCTTCTGTAATATTCTTAAAGATGTATTTCCGTTCTACTATTAGGGAACAGAAAACATGAAAAAAGGAGAAAAAGTTTCGTTAAGATGATGGTTAACTTTCACCAAGCACGAATTTGAATTGTTTTTCAAGTCGATTCCTTTTTATATCCTAGGGATCATATTTTATTTTTGAAATTGTCGTATTTCATAATACTTTCCCCGTGCTGAATGTATTGCTATATACACAATTTTGGCTCCGAACACTATTCTCGGTACATCAGTTTCGCTTGTAGTTTATTATCAGGGCTTCTCGTGGGAGCATGCTTAGAAAAGTGCGAATAGATTGAGCTTCGCATTTATAAATTAAAATTATGAACAGAATGTATACCCCAGGATTTACAATATTTTCATACGGTTCTATTATATATGAGGATTAAAGAAAATACAACATACATTTATTATAGATTTCATATTAAATCTCAAGAAAAAATTGAATGTATTTATACTCATCCCACGGTCCCCATTTATTCGTAATTGCAATTACTATTTCACTCTAGGGATTTTGACAAATAGCCTCCAAGAACGAGACACGCATACATCTACATTCCTTTTGGAAAATTATCGCTCTTTGTCTTGTGTGCTTGTGTCACCTCCTCGTTTATTAATAGGCGTAGCGATCGAATGTTGTAATGACGTCTATTTAATCAAGAGTTGATGTGCTTTGTTGCTTCACAGAACTCGCAGACCTCC